AAAAAAAAACTATCAAATATTAAGGGACAATAAGCATAGGCGTGTCCACGGGTCATGCAAGGCTGCAAATTGATCAAACTTACATAGTACATTTTGATGCATAATATGAACCTTTTTTTTTCAATTTCTATTTTCATATTAAATTTTTTGTTTTTCATCATGTGTATAATTCAAGATCATATCCCTAAACYCTAATGGAAATTTTTATTTTTTTTTGAGGGGSGAGGATTGGCAGTTTCCCCATCCCCTAGATATACCACTGTTGTGCATGACCTGCGAATGAGGTCTGGACACGCCTATGCAATAAGATATACGCCGCGCATAGTAAGTCTATAGACTATAAATTAATTAACAAATGTTGAATATAATAAAAATGTGTACAACTAATATTTTAAATTACCATTTTGATCAAACTTTTAAGTTGTAAGACAACATACAGTCAACAATTATAATATACAATGTAAAATTGTAAAGCTGGATAATATGCTTATTTTATTATGGTTTTTACACAAAATAGATTATATATACATAATACCTACATATATATATATATTATATATTATTATTATTATTATTATATTTATTTTATATTATATATATACATATCTTATTTATAAGATTATAACACTTGATAACAGCCAGAGAAATGCTACGTCACAACTCACAGACCTGCGTATCACTGGTATCACAAAGCTGCTGACATGCCTTTTTAATTTGTCAAGAATTCATGATTCAACTATTGTAAAGTGGAATAGSTGTCTAATATTATACTTATACACCCACCTATTAAGTAATATTACTAATTAATTTGCTTAATAATACACATAGTAATTCCCATTTAAGTACATTATCAAAGGAGTATACACATAATTTGTTGACYGTACATTGTATTTTACAATGTGACATTGTTCGTGATGGACTCTTGTGCGTCGAATGGATTGCAGACATTAGATCCTTGGCCACAGCTGACAACAGACGCGGTCGATTTTCAATTTGAAAACGATTTTGCCACCGACAAGCAGTCATTCCAACCATTGCCCGACAAAGAAGAATACTTACAGCGTTTGGGTAAGTCGTCTCTCTGCTATACAGTATACAATTTACTTAAGTAGGGTATCATTGTTATGTAACACAGATTAGTGTTATGTAATCAATGCATCAGATTACAATGTAAACTGGTTATTTGATATTGATACCGTCAATGTTCAATAGAGCATAAACTGAAAATACTGAAGAACGGTTCACAGTCTGATAGTACAAAACGCCGTCAAATTGTCGATCAACTGTGTGAAGCTCGCAAGTCATGCTTAGAATATTTGGTGGATTCAGATAATATTGTGTTTGAAAACGAGGAGACCGTCGCCCAACCTTCAGGACTTTCTACTTGGATCAATCCAGAACAGCCTTTGTCTACAACTGAAACCCAAAAATTAATTGAACAAGATACTGAAGATGAATGAGTTTTGGAGTCGTCGTACTTGTGTCATTTTGACTGGCGCTAGCAAAGGTATAGGACAGTGTTTGGCTGTAGAAATTGGTAAACTTTTGATTCCAGAGTCAACCATTGTTCTTATGGCTAGAGATACAAATGGTCTGGAAAAAACTAAAGAAATGGTGAATAAAGAAAACAGTGATATTTTGGTAGAGGTGGGTATATAGAACAAAAAGTATTTTTTTCATCACCTTAAATTCAACATTTTATTGGTGTTACAGTATTATAGCGTAGATTTATACAACTCCAACGCAACAATGTTTGAAAAAATTGTTGAGCCTATTGATTCAACAAAGTATGAATTATTTTTATTAATTCATAATGCTGGGTCAGTTGGTAATTTGGATCATCTCGCAGCTGACATGAATGATCCCGATGAGTGGAACAAGTAATTATTCATTTTTATATTAGTCAAACATTTATTTGTTTTTGATTTGATTAGAACGTTGAACAATCATAAATATTTATTATAAAATGTACAATAATCAATGGTGTAAAATTAAAAACATTTTATTTTTTCTAGATATATGTTGTTGAATTTATATTCAGTAACCTGTCTAACAAGTGTATTTTTATCCAAGTTCAATTCAGATACAGCTGAAAGATGTGTYGTCAATATTACTTCATTATTAGCGATTGAACCATTTAAATCAGTTGGATATTATTGCGTTGGAAAAGCTAGTAGAGAAATGTACTTTCGTGTATTGGCTTTAGAAAATCCTTCTCTGAATATTCTTAGCTATTCTCCAGGTAAAAAAAAWTTTTCAAAATATTTTTATTTATAACTAAACTAAATCGKTTACTTTCCATTTTAGGYCCTGTGTTAACTGATATGTATACCAATATTAGTTTGAATTCAAAAGACGAAGTTGTACGCGAACAATTTACAAGTGGACAACAAAAACAATATATTGTGAAAGTAGAAGACACTTGTCAAAAACTAGTTAACACTTTAGCCATGAGAAATTATAAATCTGGCGGCAGAGTTGATTATTATGATCGATAATTGTATTCCACATTTTTTTTAAACATTTTATGTATTACTGTTTTTAAGTTAATTTTATTATTTGCTTCATATATTAATTGTTATTAATATTGAAGGAAGGTAATCYCTCTTTTAATTTATTATTATAATGATTATTTAACTAAAAATATTTTATTATACACTGCATAACATTAAATATGTGTAGTTCAGTTTACTTACTCCGATAAAAAAAAAAAAGCACCTTTTTATATCTTTGCCAATTCTATATGATTCACTGGACTAAAACTCCTCCACCCCTTCAAATGTGTAACATTATTTGTAGTAATGTCTTATTATTTTA